GTCTTGCTTTTCAATCCAACTAGTCAATGTCGCTTAATTGGAGAGTTAAATCTGTTATTGTTGAGAGTTAGGACTGAGAAGTATTTGGTAGTTACTGCCATGTTATCACCTTCTTGTGGGCTGCCACAACTGGGTTCTTCCTATGGTTCTTGGATTCTCAGTTTGGGTGCAGTTTCTTGGCCTTTATTGTGGTCTTTTTGGTTTTCTATGTGTAGGACATCTTTAAGTATCTTTTGTAGAGTTGGTTGGTGGATATATATTGCTTCAGTTTTTCTTTGCTATGGTAGGTTTTTATTTGACCTTCACTTGTGAGGGAGAGTTTAGCTGGGTACAGTATTCTTTGTTAAGAGTTGTTTGTCAATAGGGCATGGCATATATCATTACAGGCTCTTCTTGCTTTAATTGTCTCTGATGAGAAATCTGAGTTGGTTATAATTAGTTTCCCTTTGTAGGTGATTGATCTTTTCTCCTTGACAGCTTTAAAGATCTTTTCCTTGGTCTAAATTGATCCTGTGCAGATTATAATGTGATTGCGGGATGTCCTGTTCTAGTCTGGTCTATTTGGGGTTCTAAAAGTGTCTTGTATTGGAATAGGCCTATCTTTTTGCATGTTTGGGAAGTTCTCTGCTAGGATCCTGTTAAACAAATTTCCTAGACCATTAACTTCTGCCTCTAGGTTCTCCTGTGCACCCATTATCCTCAGATAAGGCCTTCTGATGGTGTTTTCCAAATGTTGAATGGATCTATCATATCTCTTGGATTTGTCTTGGATAGTTTTATGTTCTTTCTCTATAATATCTAGGCTGTCTTCAATCCCCGAGATTTGATCTTCTGCATTGTCTAACCTACTGTCAAGACTTTCTACTATTTTTTTATTTCTTTTCCTTCTAATTGGTCAGCTTTGATTGCTTACAATTCTTTGTTGGAACTTTGTTTTAGATCTTGTATGACCTTCTTTGCTTCCTTAATTTGGTGTTCACTGTTTATTCTCAAATCACTTAGTTGATTGGTTATGGTTTCCTTGGACTCTCATCCCTTCTGTTGGGCTCCATTCAGCATTCCCTTTGTGTTCTCCCTGAATTCTTTCAGCTCTCTATTTATAGATTCCATGAATGCCTCTATTGATCTTTGTCTATTCTCATCCCACTCTTGCAATTCCTGTATTACTCTTTGATTAGCTTCCTCACATTCATTCAATTCCTGTAGTTCTCTTTGAGTGTTCTCAGCCTGCTCATTCAATTCCTGTCTTTCTGTTTAACTGTTCTCAACCTGCTCACTCAATCCCTGTATTAATCTTTGACTAGCTTCCTCATGCTCACGAGATTCCTGTATTAATCTTTGGTTTGCCTCCTCTTTCTCACTATCATGCTCACACTGTGTCCTTTGCAGGTTTTCAATATTTTCATTCACCCTGTTTACCAGTAATGTTTGTAGAGCTTTTTGGGAACTCTCCACTGGATTATTTATTAGGTGTTCTGTCACCTGATTACCATGAGTGGAAGTTGAGATACCTGGACTTGCCATTTTTCTTGTTTTTCCGGCTTGTTCTGCCTATATAGTATGAAAGTAACACCAATTTTGTGCTAGAACACTATTTTAAGGCAAGCATCAATGAAAGCACTGAAGTTGCACAGTCTAAATGGCTGCAGATACAATCTAGTTCAACAGATACAATCTTTCAACATCAAACAACTATGGATTAATGGGTAAGAACAGCAAGCAAGAATTTGGCAAACCAGAAATTATTAGGTTTAGGGGAAAATGTGGGGACAATAGGATTAGAAGGATGTGGAGAGATAAAAGGAGAGTGAATTTAACAAAGTCCTAAACTCAGTGAGGGAAATGGATTGGACAGAATGATAGGAGAGAGATTTTTTTTAAAAAAAAAAAAGAAAGAAAAAATGGAAGGATAAAATTTGAATTTTAAAAGTGAAAAACTTATAAATTACATAAGACTAAAGAAATGATATTGAGAGAAGAAAGGATAGGTTGAGAGGAGGGTAGGGATAGAAAGGAGACATGAAAATATAAAAAATAAAAATTCTTAAAATTAGTTACTTGAGAATATCTCTCTATATGGGTATACAGAGATGATACTGCTATTAAAGAAGTTAAGCCTAAGAGGTTGTGAATTGCATAATTAATTTCTGGACTATGTACACAATGAGGGATAAGGTCTAAAAATCTACAACTGGTATATATCTGGGGATGAGCAGAATAGCAATTAAGTCATGCAAGAAAGAATGAAAGAGAGAAAAAAGAAAAGAAAAAACTGACAAAAAGTTCAGAAGAAATTTTTTAAAAAGCACACACACATATGCACCTAAAATAAAAATTATGAGAGGAAAATAAAAAGTATTAATAGAAAAATTTTAAAAATAATTTTTAAAGGTACAAAAATGAGTTCTTCGATTTTTTCGGGGGGGGGGAGTGGTAATAGGAAGATCCTGTATATCCCCTGTGTCAGTACCCAGTCTCTTGGTGGAGTCTCTGGTCTGCTAGTGGTGTTTGGTTTTCCTGTGGCTTGATTAGTTTCTTAAGTCAGTTTGTTTGAGCTGGCAGAAAAATGCTCTGTCTTATCCAGGATTTTGTGATATTCTTTCCAGGCTAGTTCAGTGGGAAGGAGATCTGCTTTGAGTATCACAAAAGAGGGAGATGGCTGTTTCCTCTAGTTTGGGAATGCTCTGATGAGGGTAGGTTCTGGGTAGAGTTGAGGCCTTTCAGCAAACACTAGCTTTTCTCTGAGGAGCTAGTTTCTGAGACACTCACAGAACCCAGCCTGGAGCCATTCTCAGGGTTTATGTTTACTAATTTCAATTGATTGTCAAGGCTGCTGTATGGAGGGGAAGCCTCTGGCTCTATTTACCCAGTGAAGAAAGTCACTGGTCCGGGGGCCGAGCTTCCTTTGCCTGGGCTGGGTGACTTTCCCCTGGGTGGGGCTGAACATGGCTGGTCAGGCTCAGTCGGGCCTCTGTCAGTATCAAAGATGGACATCTCTGGTGTTGGGGGGAGGGGTGGCCTTCCTTCCTCTGCTCCCTGAGAAGGAGTGAGGACATCAGTGTTCTACTCATGCCAGAGTCTTGGTTCCTGGGCTATCTCTGATCTGCCATCTGTAGGATGAAGATAACTGCTCCTTGTCAGTTTTTGCAGGTGTTGAGTAGAATCTGCTCACCCACTGCTTCTGGCTCCTTTATCCCGACTCTCTGTAAGTATGGTGGCTATGACCGCAGCCACTACCACCACAGCCACAGTATCTGCAGCTACCGGCAAATGCTCAGATCTGTCTCCTTGCGTGGATTTTCCTTCTCTGGCCAAATTCTGTACTGTGATGGCACACTTGGTGTGATTCTCTAGTCTAGGACTGTTCACTGGAACACTAAAACTGCTTTCTATGTGAGAACTTGTTTATCCATCAGCTTCTTCTCCACCATCTTCCTCCGAACTCCATGTTAAACATTTTTAATGTGTCTATTCACTATTATTATTTCTTCTTCTGAGAAGTCTCTCTGAAGTCATTAGCTCATTTATTGCTTGGGTACTCCTAACAGTGTTTCTCTGGGAATATCTTTATCCTTTCTTCATTTCTAAAGGATATCTTTCGTAGGCTCAATATTCTTTGTGGATAGTTTACATATATGTTATCTGGAGTACTGAAAAGATTTCTTGCCACATTCTCTTGACTTATATGGATACTATTGAGGACTCAGTTATTAGGGAAATGAGAGCATATCTATATGGTATGAATCCCATTTCTGTTATAGTTTAGAGAATCTTCCCTGTATAAGTATTTCACTTGTGAGATCATGAGACAGCTTGCTATAGATGTGATGGTCAAAAATTTGATTGCCTTTCATGTTAAAGAATAGTACACTATCTTTGTTCACAATTCCGTTTTTGAAAATACTGACGTCAACTTTTGATTAACCTTTTCACACATCTTCATTTTTACAGTGCTCTGTCATATGTGTGGTTCAATTAGATTTTCGTCAAAGTCACTATTTTCTTCTGTTTAGAAGACTTCACATATACCTACAGTGTATGATGAACAAGTAAATTCTTTAATTAGTACTTCCGATGTGCCTTCATTGTTTCCATTTTTGAACAATGTCTGTTGATTTCATTATATGAATTTCTTTAGCATGTACATGCACATGCACACATGTGCAAGTGTGTGCATGTGCGTGCAAACACACACACACACACACACACACACACCTGGCACTCCAAGACATGAAACAGAAAAATGAAAAGTACTTTGATCATTTTTACTTCTTTCTACTTGTTCCTTTTCAGTTTCTCTATCTATCTATCTATCTATCTATCTATCTATAAATTGGGAAGAGAATAGTGAGCACATTTTACCATGGTGACATTGGAATTAGGATTGCATTGTAATTCTTCCCTATAATTTTCTCCTTAACATCCATATTGGAGGTTCCCCTCTCCATAATTAGTTCACTAGAGTTGGATGTATCCCTTTTGTTTTGCTGAATAAATAAAAATAAAATTTCCTCACATTATATTTTAGCTATTGTTCTAGTTGATATTGCAGGAATTTGAGTCTGTTAGCATGGCTTACTATATAATCTTTCATAAAGAACATTTTGCTTCTGAAAGTTACTCTTAATTTGTAGATTCATCAGTTAGCCTGACCTGCCATATAAACACATAATATAACTGGGTGACTCAAACACAAGATTTACAGAATATTTGCTGTCTCATCAAAACCTAATGCAATGGACAACAGCTTTTTGCTGTGCTACATGCAATAGTGGGGGGAAAGGAAGCTGTCTCTCAGCTTAATTAAGTTTCTGAATCTCATTCATGGCATGTTCCTTTCATGTCCTTAACTAATTTTATATACAAACATAAGACATTGCATTCACATTCTGTTCCAATTAGGATAATATTTTAACATTCATTAGCAGAAAATCAAGAATTCAATTGATCAAAGACAGGTTTTGTAATTCTTTTCCTAAATTTCTATGCTTATTATACAGGCTTATCTTCAAGAACTATCAGTTTGTTTTGGCCTTGGCTTTTGCTGTTGAGGAGATCAACAAAAACCCTGATCTTTTACACAACTTCTCTCTGGGATTTGATATGTATAATATTCACTTTAGAGCTTGGACAATGTTCAAGAATCCCTTCACTTGGCTCTTTGGGAAGTACAGGATTCCAAACTACTCCTGTATGAGAGACAGAAGGTCTATAGCAGTACTGACAGGACCATTAGGAATGACATCTGACCAAATTGGGACATTGCTGGGACTCTACAGATTTCCACAGGTGAGGGTAGAATGTACAGAAAGATATAAAAATATCTAATATTTCATGTGCTAGAAGAGAATAAAGGAAGAGACTTATGAGCTTATCAAATTTTGTTGCACCAAAGAGTAAGTACCCAAAGATATATAAAGTGGGATGTGTGTGTGTGTTTGTGTGTGTGTGTGTGTGTGTATGTTCACTGTTCAGAAAAGGAGATGGAAGACTTAGATCAATAAATAATTTATTGTTTCAAGCCTTATCAATAATTTTCTTTAAAAGAATCCGGGAATGGAAAATGACTTTTCAGTGTGAAGATATGTTGAGCAGTGTACTGGTGACCCACACCTGTATGCTAACTAATTAGGAAACTTTTTAAAAATAAGTTTTTATTGGGAAAATACAGAGAGGTTATGGTTACAAGAGCAAGGTAATGAATGCATTTCTTATCAAGCATGGTTGCCTCCTCCTTTGTTATTCCTGGATCATCCCTTACCTCCCACCTTCACAACTACACTCCCACACCCTTCCCCCCTCCCCAGTTCTTAATTGTAAAGTTCATTTTCCCACATAGTGTCTTCTACATCTCATGGTTGAAATGGGTCAACCTGTATCCCTATTTAAACATTTTGTTTTTTCCCTTCTCCTCCCCAAATTATACCAACATCAAATAGAGTGAAAACAGGGGTTATACCATGGGGGAGGGACATACAAAGCAACAAAAAATCACATGGCACTTAATAAATATATTAGAAACAATAGCAAGAAAGAAAAAGCCACTTATGTCCTTATCTTGGGATTCACTTTGCTTAACTTCATCCTGTCTGGTCATATGTACATAGCTTTTGACCTTTTCTACTTATCCCAGACATATACTAGTTATTTCAAATAAGGGAAATCATGGGACCTATGTTGCTTTGGGCCTGGCTTACTTCACTTAATATAATTTTTTCCAAGTCTTTCAATTTCCTAACAAATGGGCGATGTTATTTTTTTCTGATGGGATCATGTGTGTGTGTGTGTGTGTGTGTGTGTGTGTGTGTGTGTGTGTGTCTGTGTCTGTGTCTGTGTGTCTGTGTCTGTGTCTGTGTGTATCACATTTTCTTGATCCATTAATCTACTGAGGGTCATCTGGGTTGGTTCCATCTTAGCTATAGTAAATAATGCTGCAATAAACATAGTTGTGCTGGTAGATTTAGTATGGTCTTGTTTCTGATCATTTGGGTAAATGCGCAAAAGTGGGATTGCTGGGTCATAGGGGAGCTCTATGTGGATGGAGTCTTTTGAGGAACTTCCATACTGCTTTCCATAGTGGTTGAACAAGTTTATACTCCCACCAACAATGCAGTAGGGTTCCCTTCTGGCCACATTCCCTCCAGCATCTGTTGTTACTTTGTATCTGCAATTAACCAGCAACAAGCAGTAAGTAAGTATGTGGATCAAGTGATTGACCAGTCTTGAGGGGAAAAGCCAAGGAAATGAATGAGGACATAAGTTTTTGCCCCTCTACTGACTTGTAACTGCACACTCATGCACACAGACATGCAAGATACTATGTTGAATGAAGTAAGTCAGGTTCAGATTGAGAAATGTGAAATTTGTTCTGTCATGTGTGGAAGTTAGATTTAAAATATGAACCATGTAATATGAAATAAATATGGCACACATATATATAGCCTCTTACACACACAGATAGATATATATACATATATATGAGAAATCTGGTAAAAGTATGGTATACAAGGGGTGAAAGTCCATGCTGTGTCTTTTCTAATAAAAATAAACACCGGAGAGCTGAAACATATCTTGTCTGAGTCAGGTAGGTGTTGATGGAAAAAGGCAGAGGAAAATGGAATGGATGGGTGCAAAAACAACACAATATTCAATATACATGAATGAAAATGGAATTAGGAAAGGTGAGGAGTGGGTGGAGATGACATTGATAGGAAGAATTGATAAAAAATTATGACAAATATCAGAAGACATTTAACAGTAAATTTATATATTATACAACTATTGAAAAACAATTAAATTGTTTTTTCAAAACTAAAACAAAACCTTCCTTCTACCTACTTAAACTGGTTCCTAACATATTTTAAGACTGAAATTTTGATGGATGATAATCTCATTCATGAAGCATACAATTTTTTTCTCTTTAGCTTACCATGGGGCCTTTTGATCAAGCTCTGAGTGACCATCACAAGTTTCCTGCTCTCTATCAGATAGCCCCAAAGGACACATCAATAGCCACTGCCATGGTCTCCTTACTGCTTTACTTCAGCTGGAGCTGGGTAGGACTGTTGACCTCACAGGATGAGAATGGTTCATGGGTTCTTGCTGAATTGAAAGAAGAGATGACCAAGAACAGAGTTTGTGTGGCCTATGAGCTACTGATCTCAAGCAAAGGTGTGTCTTGTCTATTCAAATTAATTGAAGTTTATAATGAGATAAATAAATCTTCAGCAAGTGTCCTCATCATATATGGTGATAATGAATCACTACTAGATTTAATGGTGTGTATTGAGCAACTTTTAATCAAAGGCAAAGTTTGTATCATGAACTCACAGTGGGATTTAACCATGAGAAGGAAATATTTCATTCTAGGCTCATTGCATGTTCCTCTTATTTTTTCACATCATCATACAGATCTTTCTGGATTCACAGATTTTATCAAGGCAGTAAACCCTTCCAAATACCCAGAAGACATTTTTCTTGCTAGGATGTGGTTTCTGTCATTTAATTGCTCAGATGCTGACTCTGACTGTGTAACATGGGACAATTGTCCTCATGATGCCTCTTTGGATTGGTTGTCTGGGTATATTTCTGTCATGACTATGTCTGGAGATAGTTACCATATATACAATGCTGTGTATGCTGTGGCCCAGGCTCTCCATGAGATGCTTCTTCATCAAACAGAAGATCACACAATGGAAAATAGAAAAGGAACAGTGCCTTCCCCTGCACAGGTAATTTCATCTTTGTTCAATGGCATACGCCATGAGCAAAGGTACTTCCTAGAGCATGACTTATTCTATGAAATTAAATGTTTCAGGTGTTTTCCCAAACCCGGGAAATTATTTTCTTTTGAATATTATGAGATCTTATAGACATATGTTCAAATGTGTTTCAGAAAAAAAAAACTTGCCAATAACAAAAATAAAATGTATTCCATGATTATGTAAATTGTTTTTATTTTGCTTGTTCAGAGGCTTGAAATCAAGGCGAGGGTCTTTTACCTGGGTCCTTTGTGCCTTAGGATAGCACTCTACAACTTGTGCCATACCAGTACTTCTAGTTTTTTTCTGAGTAATTTATTGGAGACAAGTCTTGTGGACTTTTCAGCCCAGGCTGGATTTGAATGGCAATCTTCAAATACCAGCCTCCTGAATAGTTGGGATTACAGGTGTGAACTCACTGTCTTGTGATATTATTTCATTATAGCTAACCTCAATATGCTCATAGCAAATGTTGTGAAAACTTCAAATGCAGTTTTCTCTTAGGGGTTTCTTCAGTAATAGCAAAGGAAGACCTGCTGAAAAGAATTTTCATATATTTCATAAATGATCATTTCATTCAACTTTGGAATTAAAATTTTAGCAAGCTCAAAGTATAGACCTTCATAAAAATAGTGCTTATGCCGAGCTGTACCTACAAAACTGAGAAGTGTCCCATTCATGTCTATTTACAGCACATTGGTTTCTTTTGGGAAGAAAAGGCCTTCGGTTTCTTTTCTAAATGACCAGAATTCAAAAAGATTATTTTTATTCCTCCACAGATTTTATTTGTGATATTTCATTAGGTACTTCCCCTATTCATGAATTCAGAATCAGAGATTAAAGGCAATCGGAGCTTTTCATAGTTCAGGTTTTCTGTCTTAACTATGTGATGTACTTCACCATAAGATGAAGTATCTCTTTTAGCTGCATCCTTTTCTGAAAAACATCCACTTTTACAATCCTGCTGGAGATGAAGTGATTTTGGATGATGAAAGGAAATTGGATCCAGAGTATGACATTCTGAACATTTGGAATTTTCCAGAAGGTCTTCAATTTACAGTGAAAATAGGAAAGTTTTCTCCATATGCTCTCCATGATAATCAACTGTCTTTATATGAAGATATGGTAGAGTGGCCCACAGGAACTGCAGAGGTGGGTTGGATCTAATCATAATAATTTTAAGGACAAATACATAAGGAAATATCATCCTTTAAATTTATACCTGAGTGCCAGCCACTTATTCCTATATTCCTAGCTACTCAGATAGCTGTGAATTGAATATCATGATGAAAAGTCAGCCAAAGCAGGAAAGTTATGAGACTGTTATTGCCAATTAGCCACCAAAAATCTGGAAGTAGATCTGTGACTCAGTGACTCAAGTAGTGCAAACTCAAGGCCATTGCTTAGATCTTGAGTTCAAACCCCAGGATCAGCACCAAAAAAAGGAAAATGTGTTTCTAAATATTTATTTAGAGTATTGTAAAAAACATAAATTATATCTTTCTGGTAGGTTCCCTACACCATGATAAAATACCTGAGGAATCACTTTATGTAGTGGAAGATTTTATTTTCTTCCTTTCTATGGGTGCTACTTTGGCATCTTTTGTGAGAGGAAACTTTGAAGATGTCTATAATAAGACATTCTTCATGGCCACTGAAAACTTAGGCCTGGGGTTCACATAACCTTATAAAAATTATGTCCAACTCCTTGCTTTGCCCCATGTCACAGATGAATAGGAGACAAAATATAATGACATGAATTCTCAAAAGTTCCATGAGGCTGTACGTTAGGAGTTATTTGTTCATCATTAATTTCCAACTTTTTAAGATTCCATACTGTTCAATAGTTCAACAGGCTAGAAATCCATGTGTAGCATAAAAGTCTTTCAGAATAATGGGATATAGAATGTATAAGCTAATTCAATTAATTGACTGGACTTAGTTGCATAGAAACATTATGCTTAATAATCTGATTCTTTAAAACAATGGATTTTTGAAGAACTAGTTAAGAAAGTTTGAAGAGTTACTGATATATACCTGATTTTCCTCAGACTCCTCACTCTGTCTGCAGTAAGAATTGTGGTCCTGGATTCAGGAAATCTCATCAAGAAGGAAAGGCTGCTTGTTGTTTTGATTGTACCCTTTGCGCTGAGAATGAGATTGCTAATGAGACAGGTAAGTCTGTAACTTACTAAGAAATTGTTCCTTTCTCCCCAGTTTTCCTCAATGCAGTAACTCAATGCAAAAGTTGTACATTTTGATTACAGAGCTCATTTTACTTCTCTCTGTTAATAATTTTATTTTCACAAGTGGTAGTGTTGCTAGTTGATATAGGACAGATCTTCAGCTTGGATAACATATTTTAGTGGTATTTTCTAGTCTACTGCAAGACAAGTTATTTCATTAATCTCTCTTATTGTCTAGAGTTAAGACAAGTATAAACTCTAACATGAAAGTAAACATAGTCTTAGTAAGACTGTGCTCACCTTAAAATTTACCTTTTGTTCACTCAGAACACATGGATATTGCAAATATTTTTTCCATCTGCCTAGAATTGTTTGTGTCACAAAGCAAGTATTCAGAAAAGTGGATTCACTTTAAGAAGTGAGCATTATTATGAAATGTCCAGGAGTGGTTATTTTGTTCCTACTGCTTCACAGATGAGTTGGAGAGAAAAATAGAATGAGATGAATCAAGGATGTGCCACAGGATAAAATTAATATTTTACAGAGAAATGTAGGAAAATGTAAGCCATATTATTTACAATTTTCAATTGGATTGCAGAACAGGGTATAGTTCTGTTAAAAATGTTTTAAAAAAGTGTAGGAAATCACAAGTAGATTAGAATGCCTCAAATGTCACTTTATCACACATTTGATAATTACTGAAAGAAAAAAGTTGAATACAAAAGGTTAAATAAAAAAGATTGAAATGAGAGGAAGTTATTGTTTAGAAAAGAAATAAAGTGGGTTTATGATACCTAATGTTAGGATTACATCTTACATGTGAGGATTACATCCAAATAAACAAAACCCTAATTTCTTTGAAGGAAAGGAGTTCACAACAAAAACTAATTGCACTTACACTTCTTACCAGATATGGAACAGTGTATTAAATGTCCAGATCATCAGTATGCTAACACACAGAGAAACAAGTGCCTCCTGAAAGATTCAAGTTTCCTGGCCATCAGAGATCCTTTGGGCATGGCTCTGGCCTGCATGGCTCTCTGCTTCTCTATGTTAACCGCTGCTGTTCTTGGGATATTCGTAAAACACCATGACACTGCCATTGTCAAGGCAAATAACAGGATTCTCAGCTACATCTTGCTCATCTCCCTCATCTTCTGTTTCCTCTGTTCCTTGCTTTTTCTTGGATGTCCCAACACGGTTACCTGCATCCTGCAGCAGATCACATTTGGGGTTATCTTTACTGTGGCTGTTTCTACAGTCTTAGCCAAAACAGTGATTGTGGTTCTGGCCTTCAAGGCCACTTCTCCAGGAAGAAAGCTGAGGTGGCTGCTGGTATCAGGGGCTCCTAAATTCATTATACCCATCTGCATCCTGATCCAAGTGACCCTCTGTGGATTCTGGTTGGGAACTTCGCCTCCATTTGTAGACACAGATGCACATTCTGAACATGGCCACATAATCATCCTGTGCAACAAGGGCTCCCTCACTGCCTTCTACTGTGTCCTGGGATACCTGGGCATCCTGGCTATGGCCAGTTTCACTGTGGCTTTTCTGGCCAGGAACCTGCCTGACACCTTCAATGAAGCCAAGTTCCTGACCTTTAGCATGCTGGTGTTCTGCAGTGTGTGGCTCACCTTCCTGCCTGTCTACCACAGTGCCAAGGGGAAGGTCATGGTGGCTGTGGAGGTCTTCTCCATCTTGGCCTCTGGGGCAGGACTCCTAGGCTGCATTTTTGCCCCAAGGTGCTACAACATCTTGTTAATGTTTAATAGAAATTCTCTACATGGCTTCAGGGATAAAAGACTATATAGTAGAAGAAATTAATTTTCTTATGTTCAAATTCATATGCTTGATTAGTATATATGTCTGGTCTAAATCTACAGTAATTTCCCATTGTTGTATTAGTTTGTATTGTGGAATTTTTACTTCAACGAATAAGGTCTTTTGCTCATTTTTCTAGTAGTGGTAGCCATAAGTGATGGTGCTCACTATTTAAATTTTCCTAATATAGTTTGGTTCCTCCTATTTAATCTTAATTTAATTATATTATCCCCTCTTTAAGAGTTTATGTTCACTCTTGTCTTTCCGAATCATTTTTCTAAATTTTCAACTATACTAACTTCCTTTTGACACTCTACCATGTTGCATAGTCCTCTAATACATTTCATTAGTATTTTTCTCTTCACAAAGTTTCATCTTTTAACATGATCCTTAGATATTGTTTAGTTCAGTACTTGTAAATTTCTACTCACACATTTTCCTTTTATAATAACCCTGAGTCTCTTTAGTGGGACCTTTCTTATGTATCTACCTCTCTCTTTTTCTCTTTGCCAATCTCCATATTCTTCTATCTCTTCTTCTTCCCTCTCACTCTGCTTTCCTCAGGTGGTGTGAGAAATGTCTTGTATAAGCTACTAAATTATTCTTCAATTTAAAGTTACAATATAGAAGAACCTTTTGGGTTTTCTCTTAAGATTAATGTCTGTAATGCATCATAGTTTGCTCCACCATGGCTGGATATAACTTTCTATTCATTGTTATTTAATCTCTGTTTATAAATTTGACAAATAGAAATTTCTGCAATAAATATACATAAGATTTTTTAATGTTTTCATTGTGAAATTCTGTACAGAGGGATGACACTTACATGGGCAAGGTAATAAGTACATTTCCTATCAAGCATTGTTACCTCCTCCTTTGTTTTTCCCCTACCATCACTTCCCTCCCACCTCTAAAACTACACTCCCTCCCTCCTTGCTCAACTTGTAAAGTTTTCAACAGAGTGTCTTGTACATCTCATTGTTACAACGGGTCAAACTGTATCCTTTTTCAACTTTTTATTTTTTCCCTTCCCTTCCTCAAACTAGAGAAGTGTATATATAATATACAGAGCAACAACATTAAATACAGTGAAAACAGGGGTTATTTCGTGGGGGAGGAACATACAAAGAAACAACAGAATCACATGGTACATTATAAATGGTAGAAACAAAAGCAAGAAAGCAAAAACCACTTGTGTCCCTATCTTGGGGTTCCCTTCGCATAAGGTCATCTTATCTGGTCATATATTTATATATATAGCTTTAAACTTTTTCTACCTATCCCAGACATATACTAGTTATTGCAAATAAGGGAAACCATGGGACCTATGTTGCTTTGGGCCTGGCTTACTTCACTTAATATAATTATTTCCAAGTCTTTCCATTTCCTAAAAAATGGGGCAATGTCAATCTTTCTGATGGAGGCATAGAATTCCATTTTGAATGTATGTGCATATATATATATATATATATATTCCATATTTTCTTGATCCATTCATCTACTGAGGGTCATCTGGGTTGGTTCCATAATTCAGCTATGGTAAATAATGCTGCAAGAAACATAATTCTGCTAGTAGTTTTAGTATGGTCTTGTTTGTGATCATTTGGGTAAATGCCCAAAACTTGATTTGCTGGATTATGGGGGAACTCTATGTGGAGTCTTCTGAGGAACCTCTATACTGCTTTCCAAAGTGATTGAACAAGTTTACATTCCATCCAACAATGCAGTAAGGTTTCCATCTGGCCACATCCCCTCCAGCATCTATTTTTTGTTATTAGAATTCTTGATTATAGCCATTTTAACTGGGGTGAGGTAGTATCTCAATGTTGTTGTGATTTGGATTTCTTTTATGGCTGGAGAGGTAGAGCATTTCTTCATGTGTCTATTGGCCATTCTTATTTCTTCTTCAGAGAACTTTCTCTTTAAGACTTTAGCCCACATATTTACCAAATAGAGGTTTCTTTGAGGATTTGTTGGGGGATTTCGTTTTTTCAGTTCCAGGTATATTTTAGATATGAGACCTTTATCCATTGTATGGCTAGTGAAGATATTCTCCCAGGCAGTGGGATTTCTATTGATCTTGCTAGCTATGTCCTTTGCCATGCAGAAGCTTTGCAGCTTCTTGCAATCCCATTTGTCCAAACTTCATTTGATTTGTTGTGTTTCTGGGTCTCTATTAAGAAAATTTCAGCCTGTGCCAAGGAGACCTAGGCTTTTTCCTATTCCTTCCTGTAATGTTTCAGGGTGTATGTGTTGACTCCAAGGTCTTTGATCCATTTGGAATTAATCCTGCTGCAGGGTGATATATAAGGATCTAGCTTTAGTTTTCTATAGGTGATTAATCAATTTTGCCAGCACCATTTACTGAAGAAGCTGTCTTTCTTCCATTCTAACTTTTTAGCTCCCTTATCGAAGATTAGATGGCTATAGGTCTGTAGGTTCATTTCTGGGTTTTCAATTCTATTCCATTGGTCCTCAGTTCTGTTCTTGTACCAGTACCATGCTGTTTTGATTACTATGTCTTTGTAGTAGAGTTTGAAATTAGGTATTGATATTGCTCCAGCACTATTCTTTCTGTTAAGGATCATTTTTGCTATCTGGGGTCTTTTATTGTTCCATATGAATTTTTGGATTTCCTCTTCTATTTCCTTGAAGAATGAGGTTGGAATATTGGTAGGTATTGCATTGAATTTGTAGATAGCTTTCGGAAATATTGCCATTTTCACTATGTTGATCCTTCCAATCCAGGAACATGGGAGGTTTTTCCCAATCCAGGAGCATGGGAAGTTTTCCCACTTTCTCAGTTCTGTTTTGATTTCCTTTTTCAGGTTTTTAAAGTTTTTTTTATCATAGAGGTCATTCACTTCTTTAGTTTAGTTAATTCCTAGGTATTTTTACTTTTTGTGGGGCTATTACATAGGGAGCTGCTTTCCTGATTTCAGCCACGCTTTTCTCATTGTTGGCATACAGAAAAGCCATTGATATTTGAGGGTTAATTTTATACCCTTCTACTTGGCCAAAGTTTGAATAAGCTCAAGTAATTTGGAAGTGGATTCCGTGGGATTCTGTAAATATAAGATCATGTCATCTGCAAAGAGGGAGAGTTTTACTTCATCTTTCCCTATTTGGAATCACTTTATGTTTGCATCTTGTCTTATTGCTGTAACTAGGCATTCTAATATTAAATTGAAGAGAAGTGGAGAGAGTGGACATGCTTGTCCCATTCCTGAGTTTAGAGGAAATGGCTTTTGCTTTTCACCATTAAGCATAATGCTGGCTGTACATTTGTCCTATACAGCCTTTATTTTGTATTGAGGGATGTTGCATGGATTCCTAATTTTTCCAGAGCCTTCATCATAAAGGGGTGTTGGATATTGTCAAATGCTTTTTCTTCATCTATTGAGATAATCATGTGATTCTTATCCTTGCTCTTTTTGATGTGATCAATTATATTAATTGATTTGTGTATATTGAACCAGTTTCCATCCCTAAAATGAATCCTGTTTGATCGTGGTGTATGATTTTTGGGGTGAATTGTTGAAGTAGATTGGCCAAAATTTTGTTGAAAAGTTTTGCATTGATGTTCATCAAAGAAATGGGTGTATCATTCTCTTTCTATGATGAGTCCCTGCCTGGTTTGGAATGAGGGTTAAGAGGGCTTCATAGAAAAAGTCTGGTAGTGAACTTTCTCTTTCAATTTCATTGACGAGTTGGAGGAGTATTGGTGTGAGTTCTGCTTTGAAGGCCTGGTAGTATTGAACTCTAAATCCATCTGGCCTTGGGCTTTTCTTAAATGGAGGACTCTTATTACTGTTTCTATTTCCATGGTTGATATAGATCTATTAGTTGGTTTAATTCATACATAAGATTATTTCTTATACTGGCAACACTTCTTCCAATCTGATGACACATTTCAAAACTCTTAATTTGTTAAGGAAAGCATTACTTTTTGTTTCAGTTAGGTTGACTTAGTGTGTTCTGTACTATTTTTACCAAATCGCCTATTTAAGATGTATGAAGACAATCACATTAATTTTTCTGTCTCTTCTAATTTTCATTATATGTTTCTTGTGATATTAAGTAAATTTATAAATGATTGTACTCAAGGCCTAGAGTGTCCCTTACCATTTCCCTCAAGGCTACCTTACCATTTGAACCCCAGCTTCATTTCTAGCTTTTTCATCTTAAATTGGAAATAAGATTCTCATGGATTTTCCTGCTTAGGATGACTTTAACGTGACAAAGTGCAGACATAAAGGGGAACCAAATAGGGAAGGATGAAGTAAAATTCTCCCTCTTTGCAGATGACATGATCTTGTATTTAGAAAGCCCCATGGACTCCACTCCCAAGATATTTGAGCTGATCAGAAACTTTGGCAATTTAGCAATGTATAAAATTAATCCTCAGAAATCAGTGGCTTTTCTGTATGCCAATAATGAGAAAAGCATGGCTGAACTTAGGAGAGCAACCCCTTTTGTAATAGCCCCACAAAAAATAAAATACCTAGGAATTAAACCAAAGAAGTGAAGGACCTCTATGATGAAAACCTGAAAAAGAAAATTAAAGCAGAACTAAGCAAATGGAAAAACCTCCTATGCTTCTGGATTGGGAGGATTAACATCGAGTAAATGACAATACTGCCAAAGGCTATCTACAAACTCAATGTGCTACCTATCAACATTCCAACCTCATTCTTCAATGAAATAGAAGAAGCAATCCAAAATTTCATATGGAACAGTAAAAGCCCCTGGATAGCAAAAGCAATCCTTAGTAGAAAGAACAGCACTGGATGAATATCAATTCCAAATTTCAGACTCTACTACAAAGCCATAGTAATCAAAACAGCTTGATACTGGCACAAGAACAGAACCTGAGGACCAATGGAATAGGAGTGAAAACCCAAAATGAACCCATAGATCTATAGCCACCTAGACTTTGACACCTAGACTTTTTCTATTTCTAAAGAAATAGAATGGAAGAAAGACAGTCTTTTCAGTAAATG